AGCTGTTTCATGGGTCAATAATGTACTGGAAAGGAATAAGAGGCATAGGAGAGATGGAAAGCTCCTGCATTCCTCTTGGAGCAGCCATTGAGGTCTCTGCCTGTGTCATTTATGACACTGCCAACCAGAATGAGTGTTTTGAAAATTCCTACTTTCTCCAGGCTTGAAACTCAATATCCCTCTTGCAAGACAAAGGGAAAAGATGTTTTAGGACTTAGCAGCTAAAGATACATTAAATGCATACTGATGTAAGAGACGGGGTAGGGAAGGCACCTTAGAGTCAAGCAGGTTTGTCCACTCCTAGAAAGCAGTTCTGAGAGGGAAATTTTCTCTTTTTCTATTTTTGGTACCTTCTTCAAGATGACATGCTAAGTAGAATACTGTTTCCATGCAGGCTGGTACATGAATACCTGCCATCAAGTGTTCAGAACTGATTCTGGTTTCATGGGCTTGCAGTGACCCATTCTTCAACCCATATCCTGAACTGCAGGAAACTCACACATTTGAGTTCTGGGAAATAGAAGCCTTTCATTGAAAGGAAGCAGCTCATGTAGTATTATACTTCTGCCTGTGGCACTAAAAAGCTCATAACTTTTTCAGGCCTTGTTTTAGTTGTATTTTCTTATTAATGTCACAAAACCCCCACAAACCATAGTGATAGTTTTCTTCCTGTGTAAGTGGTCCCTTGTTTTTACTGGTTCCTGTCTCCTTTTAAAACCAGCATTTGCCCAGCACTACAGCTAACTTATTCTGGAGTTCCACTATGCTGCTCTTTTCTTTTGGTTATGATTGTATGCACTGTGCTGCTTAAAATTCAACGCCACGCTCCCGAAACCAGTCTTGATTTCCCAACCCAAGATACTCACTTGTCTTCTAAACCCAGCCTTTCCCTTTCCTTGGCTTTTTTATTTTCCCACATACTTTCTCACCTTGTTCCACCCACTCGTGGGGACAAGCAGACAGCTCAAAGCTAAGGATGTCTCTCAAGCAAGCAGCATCTCTAAAGGCGTTCCAGATTTTTCATGTTTGTCTGTGCAGCACGTTCTCAGTCACCCGTCTGCAATTCAGCAACCTGTGGACCTGAGGACAGGCCTTCAATGAGGCAGCCCAGGCTCTTTGTCACCCCCAAAATACACACATTGAGGGACATTTAAAAAGACCAGATGGGCAAGCTTTGTGGGAGACAGGACGGACTTTCAGTCTGGCAGAACATTGTGTGTCTTCCCTTTGCCACATTTCAGCTTTCATCTTGCAGCCTGACAGACTGGAGTGGAAGGAAAAGTAACCGATGGAGAAGACAAGATGGGTCACTGATGAGACCCTAAAGCTGGAGCCACGTTTGCTGCCCAAAGTTTGCATCCCCGGCATATGATTGCCATCTGTACCATGCACCAAAATAGCACCTTCACCTCCAAGAAGGCTTTATTTCAGTGACACCCATGGGTGACTGAGTTGGTGGTGTTAGGGGTTTTTAATTTTAGGGAGCAGGATGAAGCTGGGATGGGGAAGACTCCATGGCCCCTTCTCAGAAGTGCTCAAACCAGTGCTCCTCCCAGCTCCCTTATGGATGGAAGAGGCTGGGTGGTAGGATCATCTGCCTGGGCATGCTGGAAATTAGGCTTGCTTGCCCCAGAGCTGTGGGAAGACCTGTCAGTGTTCCCAGGCAGTAAGGATAGCCCTCTGCTCTCAGCAGAAACACAGCAATGGGAAGTATCTCTCCTGGAAATGAAGAAGGAGCATGAACTCATTTCTCTTTGCCTCCAAACAGTCTTCACACTCAGATTTATGACACTCCGTGAGAGTTTTCCTCAAAATCTGCTTTTCTTCCTCCCCTCACACTCATTGCGGCCACCCCAGAGCCTGTCTTCCTACAGGGAAGAGCACCATCATCCGTGTTGATGAGCAGCTTTGCTTCTGGTCCAGGGAAGATGCTTCCAGAAATGAGGTCTCAGGGTGTTCATCAGGAACTCAGCACAGCTGCTTTTCCTCTTCCCCTCCGAAACTGTCATGCCAAAAAAGGATGCAGCAGTTTCCATCATGTCTTCCAACAAAAAGCAACCTCCTCCTCCTCCTTCCCAACAAACCTCCATCCAACACCAACAGGCCAAGGGGCATAAAGCAGCAGCAGCAGCTAGAGAGACGCCACACTGCACAACTGCAGCTAATCCTGCTCTTCTGAGCAATTGTTCATAATTAACTCTGACAAAAGAACTTTTTTCTGACACAGTCACTGTACTTGGTGGGGCTAGCAGTAAAGCAGTCAGACAGCCTAAACCATGGTCTATCCACTTCACAATCTTCTGGGGACCCATGTCCTTGCCTTTCATAGACTACTTATTCCTAACTACGTAGCACCAAGGCTGGAGTCATGCTCGGCTCCTGAGCTCGCCTCACTGTTGTGACTGTACAAAGAGGTGGCAAAAGGGACACAGTGATGGTGCTGGGGAGGAGGGGAAGGAAGAAAGAAGGAAGGAAAGGAGGCTAGCTGCTGTGCAGAATGGTGACAGGGAAATCTCATCAATAGTGTCTATAGGTGATTTGATAGTGTAAAGGCCCATGACATTGGCCAAAAAAAGAAATGAGAGCATGAGAGTGAGAAAGGGGTGGAGAGAATGGGACCTTGCACAATCTGGCACAGTGCCTGGGAGCCACAGGAGCAAGAAACCACTTGGGGTAAGAGATAGGCAGCCCCAGGGAAGGGTATTCTCTTGGAGATACTGGGCAATTAAGAGACATCACTGGTTCTCCCCTTGCACAGAATTTCCAGTCCTTTTAGCCAAAGCAGCCTTCATGCAGGCCAGGGATAGCAAGCTTTCTACCTATCTTCTTCACTTGCAGAGGTGGACCTAAGTATGCAGATGAGGAAAACTGGATGTCCTTTCCCAAAGAGAGATCCTGCTATTGAGGGGTGGCATGGTATGTTGTTCCTGTGCAGGACTCCTGGTGCCAGTCTCTACCCTTGTCCCTGACCATGCCATCTCTGGTGTCCATGCTGTGAGCTGCTGATGCCTGCTCAGCATCACTCTGTCCAGCCTCCACTGGCACTAGTCTGTCCCAGTAACCCAGATCTCTCTAACATGCAGAGGAAGGTTACATCCTTACTCCCACATGGTTATTGCCACCCGTCGTCTCCCACCCTAGGCTTGCCACTGCTCTTTACACAAGCACACAATAACCCCATGGTCATTTCTGCCACCACAAAACTCCTTGCAGCAGTGTCCCCTGGCTCTGAAACCATAAGCCAGGTCATGCCAGAGCCACGGGTGGGAAGTATAGATTGGAAAGAGACAAGGGGGATGAGGAGAGGATGCAAAATCTTCCCTTTCAGTAGCCAGCTGTAACCAGAGTCACCTATCTCCCCTTGCGTCCTGGCCGTGAACACTATGCTGGCCATGGGGAAGGAGCCAAGATCCCTCTGTCTCTTCTTCCCCCATCTGCATTCCCTCCCAGGCAAGAGCCACATCCGAGCAGGCTATTTTTGTGCCAGCAGTTGTTCCCTTCTCAAAATTGCCTTGACAATGCCTATGCCACCCATTCCTGTCCTCCTGAGAGCAGCTGCTAAGCTGCAGTTGCCCCTCATCCTCCATTAGCCACAGGAAAAGAAAAAGACCCAGAATGGTTTTATATTCTCAGCCCAGACCAGATTCAGCGTCTGACTCAGCCTTTCCCCAGGTTGGGATTGTTTCCTGCTCCAGTGAGATGGGCTGTAGGGAGGACGCTTCTGTCTCTCCCTCCCTGTCCCCACCACCCCCTGTTGCTGCCTGTCAGGCCTTTATCCTCATTGAGATGCAAGGCTGGCCACTGCGGCCATCCGCTGAGCCGTCTGCTCCTGACGGCACCTTCCCCTCCTTCCCCCCCCTCCCGGGGCTGCCTGTGGAGCCATTCTTCAGCCTCTGCATTTCACAACAGCTCAAAGGCAGATGCATCAATCCTTTCAGGGGATGGGGACGTGAGGAGAATGGCAAGGGGGCTGCAGGCAGGTGTTGGTAGGTTCCCAGCCATCTCACAAGCCTTGTCCCCCTCCCTTGTCCCCCGCTGGCTCGTGCCTGAGGCTTGGACTGAGGCATGGGGCAGAGATGGGGAAGGGAAGAGGATGGGGAGGAAAAGCGCTGCTGGGGTATGCTAACCCCATAGGCATGCTCAGCCAGGATGCAGGCACATTCCCAGTCTCCCCTCTGTGAGGGGAGCAGGGATTTAATCCTGTCTGCTGAAGGTTTACACCAGGGACTGGTGGAGACAGCTGAGGAAGGGGGCACAACCCCATGGCCAATAACAGAAGGGTGAGGAATAAACAGAGGGATGGGAACAGCGGGTTGCCCCTCCTGCACTGGGCGCCCTATCTCGCACACTGAAATGGGTTGGGGATGATTCAGGACCGGATCTCCAGGACCTCCCTCTCGACTCCCTGGCGCAGCCGCTTTGGTCCCGCTGCTTTCCCAAGCCCTGGCAGCAGCCAGCATGGTGTGGGAAGGTCAGGATCAGGTCGGCTCGCGGTCTGTCGGAGGGCAGCTGGTTCCCGGTGTGTGTTTTACCCGTAGGTGCCACAATCCTTTGACTGTGTGTTCGAAAGCCTTGAGTCTATACATTTAAGAATCAGCAAATTAGAAAAATCGTCCTGAAATGTTGGGAGGGAGGAAAAAGGCAGGAAGGCAGAGAGGTGTGGGGAAGGGCTGAGAGGGAGGGAGGGAAGGGGTTGGTAAAAGAGAGTTCATCCAGGGGCACTTCCCTGGCTTTGTGCCCATCACCTGCGGGCTGGGAAGGAGGGAGGGAGGCAAGGACGAAAAGGGAGGACTGATTTCACACATTCAGTGCATATCATACAACCAGGGCAAGGCTTTCCTCCGAGGGATCCTACCCCATATGGCTTTGCTGCCATAGCCAGTCTAAAGCCCTGCCCAGCAGCCCGAACCATACTCACAGCAGGGTTACAACCCACTGCTTCATTGCTCGGGGGAAAGATACCTTCTCCTTTCTTTGTCTCCTTTTTTTTTTTTTTTAATTATATATCTTTTTAAGTACTTTTTTCTCTTTTTTTTTTTCTTTTTTCTTTTTTTTTCAGTCTTTCTTACAATTTTTCTGTAACAGCAGCTTCTTTCTGTATTGGTGTGGAAGTTATATATAGAGAGATATCTATAAATATATATAAGCCAAACTGCCTTACAGGTTGTTGTTTTGTGGTATCTTTGTTGGTTTGCTTTTAGTTTTGTTTTGTTTTTCAGTGTTGTATGTGTAGCAGGCACTTGAGTTTATATGAAGATGTTTGCTTGGGAGCTGAGGGGCAAAGGATTTGGGCATGGGGAAAGGAAAGGAAGGACAGAAGGAAGGAGCAGGGACTTCCAACAAGTGGCCACTGCTAGCCAAGGATGTCCAGGTAGATTGGTGTGGCCTTGCCCAGAGCATGAAGGATCTTGTAGATCTCCTTGATGTTGAGCCGTTGCTGAGGTTCTCTCTGCCAGCAGCCCAACATGATGTCGTAAACTTCCTTGGGGCAGACTCGAGGCCTTTCCAAAACTCGGCCTTGGGTAATGCACTCGATGACCTGTAAGAAAGGAAGAAAAGAGATGTTGAACATCACTTGGGTGGTTCCTGGGCGATGTCCTGTTCCAGCTACTTCTTGGCTGATGTGGTATCATAGAACCACTGAGAAGCCAAGGGGTCTGCAGATCCTCAGTGCTCACCTGTTTGTGTGTTGTTCATGTTAATTTTACAGTAAGAAGTTTGTCTCCAGCTGCAGTCCTGCAGTTCCCAAAAACCTTCTCTATTTGGTGCCTACCTACATCAGTGCATTTTCCAAACAGGAGGTCACAGGCAAATGAAATGAAGTTTTAATTTATTATGTCAGTTTTTCCTGCTAAATGAAGGAGGGGAAAAAAAGCTTTTAAATCCCCAAACTAAAGTAATATTTTGCACAGCTGAAATGGTATTTTTCTTCCCTGAAAATCAAGAGACCTTTCCATTGCAAAACCCAGGAGAGTTCTACAATGGAGAGTTCAGAGCATCTTTTTCTACCTCCATCTCCAAGGGCAGCTTTGCTTCATTTTAACATACAAAAGCAGCTAAAAGAATGAAATTTCATCTCAAATCACATCCATGATGGAGGAAAACAAATTTACACTGCTAAAAACCCTCCTCTGGGCCAGGTTGGTGCTGCTAACGAGAGAAACGTGAGCTCTTGGATAGCATTAAGGTCTCTTCAGAGGGATGCCATTGGAAAGGACACCCCTAAGTGTCTGTTTATGTTTTGTTCACTGAAGGAATGGATGCAAAGGGGAGGGAGCTACGATTTGTCAGAGAGCTGCTATTACCATTCTGGCCTCCTTGGCTGGAGTCGATGAGTCCCAGCATTGCAGTGTGTGAGTGACCTGCCACACTCTGCAGATAAACACAGGTCCCAGGCACTGTGTTGAGGGAAGCCACCCAGCAAGGGGTGTTTGGAATTTATCATTTATGAATAGTAATGGGCCTGCCACACAGCTCAACAGATACTTATCGCTTTGCTGTTTGAATATAAATACAGAGGGGAGAGATTAGGACCTGCTGAAAGCGGGCGAGGAAGACACAGCATGCAGAGAAGCCTGTGTTGCCATAAAGCTGGTGGCAGCAGTGACTTGTAGGAGGAGGTGAGTTATGGTCTCTGACAGGACATCCTCAACATGCACAGAAGCCCAGTGATGGGCCCTTTCTCACCAGGGCAAAGAAAGGGCATAGACGGAAGTTAGGGGACTGGGCGAGGCTTTCAGACAAGGTGATGCCCTGCCTCATTCCTCTGCTCAGGCAGGGTCTCTTCCAGCCTTTAAAAAAACTGCTAAAAATGCTTTTGGGGCTACCAGGCCATGTGGATGCCACAGGAGGGAGTGGCATCCCAGCCTTGCTAAATGCCCACAGCAGCAGTGATGCTTGACCAGCCTGGTGATTGCTCACAGTCCAGTCCTGGAAACCTGGAGTTTGTCAGAGACTCAGTTAACCTGCCCCTGCACAGGGCTCTGCAGCCAGGCTGCCACTGAGACTTCCTTTGATGGCTCACTATCCAGGAGCTGGTGGAGGTGTCAGTCCTCTGCAGCCACCCAGGTTCTTGCCTATCTCTCCACCAGGATAGTGTGGGGTGGGAGTCTCAGATCTCAGAAAGAAGTGAAAACGGCAATAGGAAAAGGAAGAACAAGAGTTTTTTTCCAGGGATCTGTGCAGATTTTAACCAGCCCTCCTCCCTCAAGATGAGGGGTGGCTATTCTCAGTCCTACTGCCTGCAAAGGAAACTGAGGCAGAAAGCACGAGGGTAGATGAGCTGTCATATTCCAGCATGCCTATCAGCCATGTGCAAGCTACATGTGCTCATTTGTGTGCGTTTGTATTTACCCTT